TCTATCTATCTATCTATCTATCTATCTATCTATCTATCTATCTATCTATCTATCTATCTATCTCTGTCCGTACACCCGTCCATCCACCCATCTATCTCAACATTTGATAAGCCAGAATCATTCTGTCTTGCAATGAAATCACATGCTTTTTTCTGGATTTAAAGTCTCAGGGTGCTGGCTGAAGATATGATATTATTTCACATCCCTCACTAGAAACAATTGTGCCTTAGAGACACTTTTCATCTAGCCCAATGCTTTTCAACCTTGGCAAATTTGACATGTGAACTTCAATTCCCAGAATTTTGCAGTCAGCATAGTGCCCGGGGAGTTCTGGGAGTTGAAATCCACACATCTTAAACTTATCAAGATTGAAAAACATGATTTATCCTGTTTGACATAAAATGAATCCTTATTCCTTCACTGCTTCTGAATAATAGTTTGTGGGTATCAATACTTGATAATCTAGCTTTCATTGAATGCCTGTTTGAACCAAACAAATGCCTGATGTACATTTCTCAATGTCAAATATTATTGTCTTTATATATCAATTAATTATGTTTGTTTCTATTTAAGGAATTCCTAAACTTACAGGGAAAAAACAAGCAGTTGAAAAATCTTTGTCATGATCAAGAAGAAGCTCTCCAAGAACTTGCCGGCAAACTTAGCGAGTAATTTTCCTTTTTTTTTTTAAGGGAAGAGGCATAATTATCCAGGTATCCCAATGTGGAATGGACTAATCATTTATAATTTAAGCATTTCATGTTCTATTGCAGAGGTGGGCAACTTCATGACCTGTGGAATCCCAGATTCCTGAGACATAGTTGCCCACTCCTGCTCCATTGGCACACAATATGTATTCAGACCGTTGTATATGTAAACAGCCAAGTCAGCTTGCTAGGTAGCCAGATCTTCAGAAGCTTCCATGGGCAGGCAGTAGATGTCACATATACACTTACTTGTGTGGGAGAAGGAAGTATGTTTTCCAGGTATTATTGGACCTTCTATGAATTTAATTCAAGATAAGCCTTTAATGTACAGTTTATACAGCCCATCAAACCTTAAGAAGAATATTAGTGTGATTTTAAGTAGCAAAGAATTCAGCCTCAGAATTTCAGAACTGAAATAAATTAGTTTATTGATACATATTATAAAGAAACAGTAAAAATAAGATGATCTAAGGAAAAAATATTTTGAAAACAACAAACCAGCTTTGCTTAGTTTTTTTCTACTTGCAAGATATCTAGTCTGAATGGGATTTACTTCTGAATGGTCCCACAGTTAAGATTGGGCTCTAAAACAGACAATAAGATACTTTTATTTCACATCTTGATGTCACTGAGCTTTCATTTTGAATTCTTTAGTGTGTCTGAATCCTAAATTACAATTTAAGTATTAAAGTGACCAGAAACTCCAGCAGTTTGTTATAACAAAAATGAACAAGTACTTATTTAAATAACAAAATGGGTAAAGCAATAAATTCATAAAGTATTATAGGAATAATGAATATACAAATTCTGAAAGCAAAGCGAGGTTCTTCATTTGCCTTAAAATCAAACTAACAATGAAATAGGTCACTTAAAGGAATTCTAGGTTTCAGAGTACCTTGTAATTGACATCCGATAAAAGCAATCAGTTATGTGTGGTAATTATATTAGGTATTATGGTCTCAAGAAAAATACATCACTTTCAAAATCCAGAATTTCTTTGTAAGATTTCCCAAGAAAAGAAAAATAAGTTTCTTCCCTGCCCCGCCCCACCCAAATATTCGGAGCTTTTTTTATTGATCAGAGGAAGTGTCAATTTTTAAGCTACCATTTTCATATAGCCAGTTTTCTAGTTAGGATATGTTGTTTATAGTCATTTGGATTGCCAACAGGCAGCATCCAACTTCATGTCTAAAACAGCAGTTGTTGCTCAGTGCTTTCTGTTTCTTGCATTATATTCCTAAACTGCTAAGAATGATGTTTCCAGTTTTTTTGTAGGAAGTGCCCACATCATAGCTTTTCTCTTTGATACCATCCCACAGGCTCAGGATCTGTCTCTTCAAACATTAGTGTGACACTAATGTCTCAGTAGCATGTCCATTGCCACGAGTATTGTAAATCTCCAAGCGTTTAAATGTTGGGGTATATAATTACCCTTTTATTTTCAATATTTGAAGTCTGGATGTGAGGTAGTTCAATATAAATAGACCCTTGCAAATAAATAGGAGTCTCACAGTGAAGAAACCCATCCAGAAATACGGAAGACCTTCTTAAAGAGAGATGATTTTGGTTAATGAAAAAGTATCTTTCTGGGCTACTTGGGAGAAACTATTCTAAAGTGTCTTATCAATACCTGTAAATTGTGATCAGGTTGGAACTCCTAGGGGATGAAACCTCCATGATAACACACAAGTTAGTTAATTCCAGAAATGGCAAAGGTTTTAGTGAAGGGTCGTTGGTCCTAACCTGATACGACCTTTCTCTTTGTGTGGAGATAGCATTCAGGATTGGGTGCTATCTCCACCACAATGGAGAATTTATTATCCACAGGTACACACTGAGTAGGAAAAGGGATGAGCTTCTGTGCCTTTTGATTTCAGACTAGAATCTCCAAAAGTACTGATGTATGTGCCTCTTATTTGTTTTATATTTTTATTTTATTTATATTTTTATGTATTATATTTGTAATTATATTCTTATTATATTGCTCGTAATTTCTAAATCATGTCTTCTCTTTAGATCAAAGCTTAAAATAGAAGACATAAAAGAAGCAAACAAAACACTTCAGGTTAGTAATATTTCGGGTGGTAACCGATATCCTGAGATGGTTCTTTCATTAATTTCAAGAATTTTTCTGCCTTAAGCTTACAGCTTCCTTTGTAAATGGGAGCATAAATTGTCTGTTGTTACTATGCATTTGGGTACTATTCCAACGTGTACAAAATATTTTCAATTTGAAATGTTGGTCTGATGTTACCAGAAATGTTCCTGTGCTACTCCAGAAGTGTTGGGATGTTTCAATTTTTCTAGAAGAGTATTTTAACTTTCAGTTAAGATGGGAATACCCATTTCAAATTTTAAATGTTTTGGTATCTTTATTCTGTTCCTAGCTTTGTTTTTTAATTTTTAAAAATGCTATTTCAGTATATTCTAGATGAGCATCAACAAATTCACACATAGTTTTTGCAGTTAAGTCCATTCCCTTTCTCTGAACGTAACTCTTGTTTTAAACAGTGCAATTACTACTGAAATATTTCTGATCTCTTTAGGAAAGTTTTACTCCGTGAATTGTGAATGGCGTATGATAATAATTTTTTGTAACTGCAGTGGTTCAGTTCAGATAGCATCTCTTCTCCTCACTAGGGCCTGGTCTGGTTGAAGGACAAAGAAGCTACTCACTGCAAATTATGTGAAAAAGAATTTTCTCTTTCCAAGAGAAAGGTGAGTTTATATTAAATGTTCTTTTGTCTTTTTATTAATTAAAAATGATAAAAGGATGGAAATGTATCAAGTGCCAGAAGATATACTGCTCATTATGTGCAGTAAATTGTATCAATTGCTATGAATGAAAGACATTTTCACTCACTAGATGGACATTTTTATCAGTCATTTGGCTTGCTCAGTTTTCTCTGAAAATATGCTATAGAAATTTTAGGGTAACTGTCTTACCAGTTCTCCACGTAGCAGTCAATAAATTGGGAGAATTCCTGTAATAATTTTCCAAATAATATATCTTCAAGGTTTGTTACAGAACATTTATTTTTATCCACAAAAATAGGTATCTAGGTTGGTAGACCTAAGTTATCATTGGTTACTTATTTCTTAGTACACAAATTATATTGGCATAAAAATCTTGTTTTTTTTAGCACCATTGTAGAAATTGTGGTGAAATTTTCTGCAATGCCTGCTCTGACAACGAGTTGCTTTTGCCATCTTCACCAAAGCCGGTTCGCGTCTGTGACTCCTGTCATGCACTACTCATACAAAGGTGTTCTTCCAATATGCCCTAAGTCTTCTACAGAAGTTATAAGACATTCTCACCGATTATGAGTGCTGTCGTGTTGGCTGCTTATATATATATATACATACGTTACTGCAATTCCAGCTTAATGCCCTTAATGTCAAAATAATAGAAACACTTGTCACTATGTCTTTGTGCCATTGTTCTTGCAATCAAAATCTTGTTTTGTACAGTTGTGCTGAGGCAATGATTGAAATGCATCTGCTTTGCAGTGGTTTCTGCTGTTTTATGTTGTCAGAGGGCTATTCTAGTGTGGGGTGCTGAATTGACCTTGTAATGAAAGCTTTATGCTGAGAACAGGGAAGCTGAGAAGCTGAAATTGGAGCTGGATAATGTTTACATCGACTGCACTATTTGTGTAGTTTGATGTCCTCCCCGACACTTCCACTGAAAATGCATTGTTGCTTATGTGTGAGCAAAGTTGAATTAGGCAAATAATAAACATATATATTTGTACAGGGGGCAGAACTCAGTTATTTTCTCTGATGTTTCTACACAATCTTTTCAAATGTAAGTTGGCCTCTGATTCCAGCTTCTGGGCAATAGTTTATGCAGGTTTATACTGAATGTAGTAGGTAGGACTTGGAGGATCTAGTTTAGCAAGATGGAAGGATTTGCTTCTCATGGGGAGATTCATGTTCAGGATCCATCTAGAACAGACAGCTCAGGGCTGAAAGATTTCCATTCGGATGTTCAGATGAGATAGGTTAGTGTTATAGTGTTAAACCTCTGGAATCAAAATCCTTGGTTAACTTCCCCAACTGGATAACACGCAGCATGTACAACAGTTGCAAAATAATCCTTTATATATCAAGGAAGGGTAGCAGACACACTTGAGGGATGTCTCTTTCCTATTCAGTGGTTGTTAGACAAGTGATGCCACATGAGAAGATTGGCAGAGTAGTAACTAGATTTCTCCATATATTGTATAAGATTGGTTGGGGTAGACTTGCAAAAAGAATGTATCTTAAAAATTGTCTCCAATAACTCATTTTAGAGACAAGCCTAGCTGGAGTTTTTGTATAGAGCTTTTATACTTACGCACAAACTATTTGCACTTATTTATAATGTAAAATTAAATTATTCAAAATGATCTATAAAGAATATAAATTACAAAATAGCAGATTGCCAAATGAATTGTTAATGAATAGTCCAGGATAGTGTTGCTTTTGTTTGTCTTGTAGGAAAGTGAAAAAGATTCCTTATTTTACTTTTTGGAAAACCACTGTATCTAATTAACAATTTTACTTGAAAAATAGAGGGTGTAATAAAAAGAAATGGTAGACTTCTTGTACTGGTGGGTCATTTCTAAGAGATGTTGAGAACAGTTTTTAATGTGAAAGTATTACCTGTTCAAAAGTTATGCATTTTTCCTTTGGATTGATCTAAATCAGGGCTGTCAAACTCGCAGCCCGGTTTAATGAAGGGAAGAGTCCCGATATGTCATGTGACACCACGAGTTTGACACCCCTTGATCTAAACCAACCACCCATTTTTGAATCTTCCTTTTTGATTCTTCTTCCACAACTGGGTGCCTTCCAAATGTATTTAAAAATATGGGGTTGCAATATAAGAACAGTACAGGATCCATGAAAGGCAAATATAACTACTGAAGTCAGTAAAATTTGGTAGTGATGTGCTGTTCTGTAACTTTAATTTTCAGCATTTAAGGGATATTATCTAAAACTGGAGCATCAAATTCGTGGCATCATGTCACGTGACATATCTTAATTCCTTCGCTAAAATGGTAGGCGTGACCAAGGCGTGACGCATCCAGCCCACATGCCACAAGTTTGACACCCCTAATCCAAAACATAACCTTTTACTGGGGAACTCCGTCTGTAAAAAGCTGTTGGTGGTAGAACCAGGCAACCACATGAATTGTTGAGCTCTCAGCTGGACTCTTAGCACTGGCTGGAGAATTCTGGGAGTTGGGCCACACTTCCTAGCTGCTGAGGCTGAGAAGCTCTACTTTACTGGATTATTCAGTGAACAGGACTCTTTTAGCAGAGAAAGGTAATTTCCAGCTTGACAATTCTGAAATTCTTGTGTCAAAATGTCAAAGTAAGCCTTAACAGCTATACAACCAATTTTCTAATGTTCTAATAATTACAAGCTCATGAGTTATTAAATAGCACATGATCTTTTATCATTTCTCCCCATTCTGTGTCAGCTGTGAGATGGTTGAATTTTATTGCTTGATCAGCAGGGCTGTGAAGTGGTTCAGATTAAATTCCCAAATTGTGCTTTGGATATGACAGCTGTCAAAATTAAAGTATGTTCTCTCATGAGTCTGTAAGGTAGGTACAATCCTGACACACACACACACACACACACACACACACACACTTAATAATTGCAGGCAGGCTCTGAAATATTTGGGGAACTAATTCCAAATGAGTAATTTTATTGGCTGTACAATCAGCTCCTCTTCAATTTCAGGTGATAAATTTGGTCCATCTACCTCTGAAGAAATATGAACTTAGAATCATCAAATTTCATTTGATTACCTATTTCATATGTACAAACTTTGTCTAAGACCAAGATGTTAATTTCTGTGGTGGAAAATGTCAATATTTAAACTGACTGCATATTTTGAAAGGGTTTTTAATTTTTTTTTAAAAAAGCAGTGTTTCAGAGTTGACTACTATCTGTTCTCAATCCAGTATCAGGAAATCCTTGAGTCCGAGAGTCCCTAAAGACATCAAGCAATGCATTCCGGGTCTAGACTTACAGTGGGGATCAGAATTTCTTGCTGGTGTTTGGAAAAGAGTATTTATTATTTACACCACATTCTCAACTGTCTTTCACAGGTAGTTTTAGGCTTTCTAGGCTTAATGCCAAGTCATCAAGATTTCTGGAAAGGAGGCCTACAAACCTTTTCTTCTCTTAAAAGAATTGCTTGGAGGGTGTCAGTCACTCACCAACACCCATACTATTGTAGGGACATGATGCTCTGAATTAATATCACTTTTTCTTGTAATTTACTCAAATTGTGTCATGGAGCATATTATACTATCAGCTACTAAATTCTTATAAATCTCAAAAGAAAGTAGTGTTCGGTTACAATTGTTGAAAGAAACACTGGGTAACTATATAATTTTATCTAATAATTCTGATAATGTTCCATGTCAGAAAGTTTTTGTCTTTTAAGCATTTTACTTTATTATACATTTGATGTTTGATATTTTACATGAAATTTTCGTCAATGACCATAAATAAAATTTGGTTAATTTAAAATACAAGTGTTTGTAAACATTGGAAAAAATATTCAACGTTTTTCAGCTTGCCCTGGTGATGGTTAAATCATTCACTTTGTTGTTATGCACTTGGTACGCATGTTACTGCTTGTGTAATAGCAGCTGATACACACATATTTCCATTAAATAAAAAGCCATTTTTCCCAGTAAATTTAGGAAATATTTATAACAGCTATACTGGTCCCACGTGACCAGAAAATATATAGCACTAATGTTTACAAAAAGTAATCTTAAGAGACTTATTAAGTTTTGTTATAAATCATGCTAATGCCACAACATGGTAAGAAATCTTGATGTAGAAAATAAGTCTGCCATACAGACACTGACACTCTGAATGTGTGAAAACCTGATTCAGTTGCATAATCTTAGAATGCACTCTTGTTTAGAATGAAGAGTGAAACTGATGCTAAGATGATCCATCCCATTTGCCTCGTTTGAGCCAAAAAAATCAATATATCAGAGGCTTACATAATGATAGCCACATCATTATGAATCTTGCTTTGATGGCCACATCATTATGAAACTGATTGCATGATCCTATTAAATACACACCACCCTCTGTACACTCCTTGTAGTAACAAATGCCTTGAACAGTGTCTACTTTGGGGCACAGTTGAAAAAAAGTTTTCAGAAAACAACTGGAACGGCAGGACAATGGGGATTAGGGACTGGGAAGAAGCCTTAGGAGATGTCAAGGGAGTTTTTCAAGTGCCTCGTGGAGTATGCCAAGCTTAGTAATTCAGAGGCAGATGCCACTTGAATATTAGGATTTTTTTCTAACACTTGAGTGTTCAACACTATTACTAAGGGAGGCTCCTTATTAAGGCTCCTATTTGCTCACTGTATTCAAGCAAAACTTATTTTAACCCTCCTTTGGTTCCAAGGAAAAAAGGCATAATTTAGTTTTTAGGATAAAACTAGTGATGTTAATACTCTAAGGATGGTTTACTATATAAGGACTACAGTACTTCAATATATAGCCTCCCTGAAGACATTAATTTTAAAATATTAAAATTAATTTTGCTAAAAACCTCCTAGTACATTTCTTAGAAAACACAGTGCATTGAGTAAAGCACACTAAAATTATGGATCTCACCTTTGTTTTGCCTATTTCATTTATTCTGTAAAACTGTTTAGGATCCTAAGATTTGCAAACAGGAAAGTAAGTGTATCTTCAGAATCAAATATGGCTATTATGACACACGTGGCTGCTGTCTGTATAAACTTTACTGAGAATAAAACTTATCTACAAATTAACATTTTTAGCTAGTATTTAATATAAATTTGTATCTTTTCTATTTTTCTATGACCCACAAAATTCTCATACTTACCTCTCAATTGAGCATCAAGCCTTGATACAAATATGCTCAATCAAAAAAGAGCATTCCTTATGGATCTAAATTACTTGCATTTTTAGTATAAACCTTTAAAAAGTGTTTCTTTTTTACAGAATTTTGTACAAATTAGAAAAGATTAAAATTTGCATTGTTTGCCCTTCAATTAGATAAATAGACACAACACGTCCTAGAATGAAATCTATTTTGCTATCTCCCACAAGACATTTATTACATATATTACTAGCAAAAACAGGCAACAAACTTTCAATTTATCACATTTGACAAATTATTCTGAAGAATCTGGAGGACAAGCAATTAAAACAAAAATTCTCCTTGAATATTAGTACCTTTTCTTCAAAACATAGAAAATGCTTAAGTGACTAAACAGTATTTCATCCAAACAATCTTACATGTTAAAAATGCAAAACAAGAGGACTACTTATGTAATCCGTCAGACTTTTAGCTGGAAATGTTATTGGTTGCCAGATTGGCCACACAATCCTTATATAGGTAGCTTCACAGCAATAGAAATGGCATCCTTAAGTCAATTATTTTATTTTTAAGAACTGTAATAGTTACTTCTCTATCAACGTTATCATAGTCCATAGCTTTCTGCTTTTCTCCCTTATCTTTCTCATATAGTATCTATTAATAACTTATCTCAAACTTTAATTGCCAAGAAAACAAAGTGAAAATTCAGACCATGTTTTCCATCAATATATTTTAAATATTATGAAAATTCTGACATACACATAGCTCAGACAGCATGTGTAGCAGTTGTGCATTAGGGCGTTCCAGAATTTTAACACATGGCCTTCATGTCCCACACTATTTTCAGACATTCTTCCATTAGTTTTCATTGAATTAGTTTTCATTAACAAACAATTTATTAACACTTAACACTTACTTTCATTCAAAGCCTCAACAAATGTAACATGAACGTAATGGTTATTTCATTTCATAGATGCAGAATCAATAATATAATCTTCCAGTACAACTGCTTTTAATGAACCAAATTTCTTAAACAAAATCCTAGGATACGCAACTATCTTCAGGAGGAGCTAGTAGTATAAAAACTATCAACATCAGTGGTTTGAATATAAAAAATTTATTTAAAGTCAGAGTATGCAACAAATAAAACCTACAGAAAACAGATTTCCCCATCACATGAAAACAGATTTCCCCATCTGATGCTTACCAAATAATGGGAAAACACATTCCTTCAGTCATTATAAAGTTTTCAATACAAAAGAAATTTTAAGTTTTGTAAGAAAGCCTAGGAGACCAAGTACTGTTTCCTTCCAACACGCTTTGGAGACACAATGACACTCTTCAATACATTCCACGCCAGCCACCTCCTCCCATGTTGCCTTGCCCGTAATATCCACCACTATTTCCGCTGCCACGACCTACAAAATAACCGCAACACTTTTATTCCTGTAGTTAGTAACGTTTAAACTTTATATCCACCTATATGAATGAAAGAAATCTTACCACCCTTATGACGCCACTCATGCCTTCCGGGCATGAATGCATTTTTAGTTCTTCATGCAATGCAAAGAACTGGGGGAGATTAAAACCAATATCTTAATATTAAAACATAACCAAACCTTACCATAGCCACCCAATCCATCAGGAGTACCATATCCTCCAGTGTAACTGCTGCCCATTCCCATTCTTCCAACGGAACCATAACCACCTTGCTCTGGAAAACAGCAGCTACCATTAGTCTCTAGAAATCCTATACAAACTGAAATCGAATTAAAAACCTGAAATTAAACCTACCCATGGCATCTCTGCCATAGCCACCCATTCCGGAACCGCCTCCAGCAGTTGAATTGAGGAATAGCTCGATGTATCGATGCTCTTTAAAAGAATAAAAAGCTTACTCCCATAAATGCAAGTCTTACAATTACCTGTAAAAAATCAAGGGAAAGCGTACAAAACTTCAGACATATTTACTGTAACTTACGCATATGGTTTTTGTCTTTAGACATGGCAGCCACTGCATCTTCATGTGTCATAAATTCCACATCAGCCTCTCCAGTTGCTCTTCCATCTGCTCCAATGTCAATATGAACCCTTATAGGAGTCAGTGGTGAGAAAAACTAAAAGAAAGCAGTAAGTTAAAACTCCTCACATTTAACCCATTATTTTAAGTCTGTCACATCCAAGATGCACACAGTTGTGTAAAATACATCACACTTCTACCATGCATATGCGTTTTACAGAAAAAAATCTTGATTTTGCGGATTCATTCGTTATTATTATGAAATCCCTTAGTGTTGGTTAGCCAATAAATTAAAACAAACTGACTGGGAAAGTATTGATTAGAGCACACGACAGTTTTAAAGCATATAACTTCTTTAATATGCAACAGTATATGCAATTATTCCCTTCGTTGCCTTTTGTGTACAGAAAAATGTAAAAATGTACTACTGCTTTGGGTTGTATATCTGTAAACCATACACTGGAATGATGTTGAAATATCAAGCAGAAGTAACTGAGCTGATATAGATTAAGTATTTGGAGCACAAATTCCTATGGGCAAGCCAATGTTTTGGTTTCGGCTTTACTTTCTCTTCAATTAACACTATAGGCCCAGTATAGCTCAAGTATACTTCTCATGATTACATTTGGTTAGTATGTCAATAATATTTACATTTTTACATTAACCTGCAGTCATTTTCAAATCAAAATATTCTTCTTTTCAGCAACTTGCATCCCATCAGTATACTGATTACAATTAGCAGGTCCCATCCCAAGTCTTCTCACTGATTTACCTATCTATTATACTGTTGCTACTATTTAATATCCTTCCCACTAAGCCACTAAATACTGATTTATATTACAGCCGCCCCTTTTATAAGCTTGCCTTCATTTGAAGATTTCCTGCTCCATTGGCAAGAAAAATAAAAATTCACCAGCATAGAAGAATCACACAACTTAGAGATCTTAAACTTTTTAAACTAATAGATATACATGGCTGGCTAAAAGAAATTGAATAAGAGTGATAGCAATTATAATAAGTTCTTATATTTGTTATTAGAAATTCTCTAATTTTGACTATAGTATTTGTAATTTTATATGTGTATCATTTTAATTGTAATAACAGCTGTTTAAAAATTGTATTATCAAATTTACTAACCTTTCTTAATATTTTTGTCACAGAAGATGGGGATATAAATCAGATACTGGGGGTTTTTCTTTGGCATTTTTTTTCTCCTTGTTTAATTATATAAAATCTCCCCTCTCCAAGGGGAATTCTAACATGAAATGTGCACTTCAGTTACTTTCAAATACGTTCAATTACTAAAAGTAACACACACACACACTTAATAATTTTGTGTTTTTTAAAAATTCTCCAAAGAAAGGGGGGGGGTTTAACTCCTGGAACTTCTTGATACTGATGAAAAACAGTTGAATCTGATTCCAGATGTGAAACTTTTAATCTCTTGGGAAAAACCTTCCTCCCCCACAAACACGCTTGCTTCAGCTAGAAATATTTTCAACAATACTCACATTAGCAATATCATTTTCAGTGGCTCGAAAAGGCAAACCTCTCATGTGAACAAAATGACCACCTTGGAAACCTGAACTTGCATCTCCTGCTCCGCCATAGCCATGGCCTCCCATTCCTAAAAGCAAAACAGGTCCATGAAGGCATAACTGACTCTTGACTGAGGATATGTGCTGCCTCCTCTAAAAAAGTAAACTACAATTGCGGTACCGTAAGCGAGCCAATCAGTTCCTGTACTAACGATAGAACTAGAGACCGTGTATACCATTTCTTGTATCCAACTGTTTATAAACAGGATACTGAAAACATCAAAGCCCTCTTCTCTAGCTGAGTCTACAACAGACAGCTGAACAACAGGGTAACTTTTTTTCTTACCTCTCCCATCTCTCATTCTGTCATCATAGCCATCATTTCCATAGGCATAATTGTTATAGCCACCATACTCATCAAAGCCACCATATCCTGTGAGATTTAAGAGGGGGACAGACTGTGAAGAGTCTTTAAACACCAAAAAGGATGTTAGCTTAGTGCATAGAACCAAACTGATTTGATATGAAATAGACATTTCTATGTAGATATAACAGGCTCAAAGACATGCAAACCAAGTTTCACTCGTACTTAAAATCTCACTTCAGATGCCTCTCCATATCTTTTTCAATCTCAAGTCATATGCCTGGTATAAACAAAGTGAAAGATGACCAGGTTTCACACTTGATATGTATTATTATTACACTGTCATTTCTGTATTTCTTGACAAAATGTCAGGAACATGAAAATGACAAGAGCCTGTGGTCATTAGATACACATACCACCGTCATATCCACCATCTCCTCGATGGATTCTGTCATACATACTTCCACGCCCAGCTCCATAATAACCCCCTCTTCCTCCCATTGGTCTATCATATGGTCCGGGTCGCTGTCCCATCATTCTTCGGGGTGGATCATAGAATCCTCGGATTTCACTCCTACTACTTTTGAAGATCTCAATATATCTGAGTAAAAAAAGATTTACAATGTACAAATGTAAGAATACAGATATATAACACTTGGAAAAAATACAATAACTGCACATTTAAAAATTTTTTAAATCTAGATATAGCATTGAAGGCAAGTGAGCACTTTTTTCTAGTGTCACGTTTAGGATTTTAGGATATTAAATGCAAAAGCAAGCAGTTCTGTGATTTACTTTACTGACTAAAAATTCTAACTGCAAATTAAATACAGCAAATCTCTGAACCACACTCCCCCCTGCCCCAGTAAAAAGTTCTTTGAAAAAAAATCTGGCTATTGTAGAACACCCTCCATAAACAAACAAACAAAACTAGCCCAATTTTAACAAGCTACATAGTATTATCAATCCCCCTCCCACCACATCTATTTTACTCCCAGTTACTTAGGGTGTTTTTGTTAAAAAAAATAGCCAGTTGATTTACGTACCCCAGCCCCCCAAAAGCAATTCTGACCCCCAACCCCCACAAAATATTTACCATCCCAAACTCTCCATCCCCACCTGTGCCCTATTCTTTCCTTGTGTTTCCCCAGAGCTTTTTCTGCTATCTCCTTTGAAGCAAACTGCACGAAGGCCTCCCCTGTGCTTCTCCCCTGGTAGTCCAGCGTCAATGTTATCCCATTTGGCACGATTTCCAACCCTTTAACCCAAGGACAAATAACCCCATCAAGGGGAAGAGTGTTAAAGTCTGAAACATTCCCATCTGTAGAAAATACTTAAAGCAAATCTACACAAATGCAAGAAAATAGCTTAGCTTCCCCCCAACCCAAATACACAGGCTAAAGAGTTTTCATTTAGACATTGTATTACTGTCTCTTTGTTCAGATTACACAGCAACAGCTACATCACAAAGAACCCACCTATACTGCATGATGTCATAACTACATACTCCAAATTCTAACTCCTAATAAGCTATCTAAATGTGTACATTTTTATCCTGCCAATGCAAACTCTTTACTTTTTAGTAGAGTTTTAACAAAGAATACCAACATTAGTAATCTAAATTTTAAAGACTGATTCCCCCTCCCCCAAGAATACTAATAAAATTTTAAGCTGTTTCAAATATCAATCTTGCAGACATAGAAACACTGAAAGTCACTTGACATTAACACTAGAGCTACCTTGAAAGAACTGAACGATCTCCTCCTTGCTGCAGCCAAATGGCAGACCACGCAATCGTACTGTTCCATCACTAGATGAATCATTTGGACCATTATGTTTCCCAGCCCAGTCCATTTTGCTGTTTAAAATCAAACACCATAAAAAACATAAACAGCAAATTTAGCATTTGAGAATGACGATTCACCCCCAACCCCTTCCTAAGCAGGACTGTATACATTAGAAACATCTTGAACTTTTAAAAAAATGCAACAACTGCTCAGAGGATAATGCTGTGATAATTTACAACTACCATTGTCTTGAACTCATACAGAACTAGCATGACCTGCTCATGCAACCTGCCACGTAGCTATTCTCAAGACCTCGACTGATAGGCATCTATCTATGAAGACAAATTCTACTACTGAATACTTAGTTCCTCCCTCTCACATTTTCCCAGCCATTTCAATACACATATTCAATCACTGCAAAGGGCACTATTTTTAAATTCATACTAATGCAGGCCAGTGAAGCCACAGCAAATTGTTTCCCAAAAATACATATGAAATAAATGCATGCTTCTCAACCTGCATACAAATCTCATGGGTGTTCATTCCAATGCCAGCTACAAGGGCCAAGGCAGCAGTCCTACAGGGCTTAGGACTAGAATTCTCACAATTAAATAAATGGAAAGACAGTCAAACAACTAATTCTAGGGGCAGAGGTTGACAGGTAAAAGATAACATTAAGCTAACAGGGGAAGGGAAATGAATTTGATTGTGTGCACAAGAGGCTGCATTATCCCAGCAACATAAAACACCAGCAAAATAGAAAAGCAACGTTCATGTTTTTTTTTTAATTCATTGAAATGGTAAGGTGCAAATGCAAAGTAATACTCGGTAGTCTGTATGGGAGTATGTCTATGCATAGTGTGTACATACAATGTAAAAACTGCACAAGTGGAGAGAGCCAGGAAGTACATTTAATGATACAATGGCTAGTAAATTCAAAGTACAATTCACATACCTGCAGACATTTCCCTCCACTACAATTAGACCAGCATCTTTCCACTTTAATCTTACCCAAAGTAGAGTCCCTCCAAATGTTTTGGACTATAGTTCCCAGTATAAATTATCTAAAAATACTGTATTTACAATTTTGTTTATGAAGTATTGGTTGGTGGGGTAGAACAATTTATTTTGAGTTGAAGCTCCACCTACAACTACAGGAAAGAGTAGATTTTTCTAACATTAAAGAAAAATTATAATGGGAAAAATATTCTGCCCAGAATAATTTGTGCTTTAGATCTCCACTTGTAATAGAGTTTGACTTTTTCCCACGCTAAGGTAGACTAGAGATATCAGGGGAAAAAAATTACATTCTTATCGCACACATTTGGGGAGGATTTCACAAAATGAGGAAAAATGGATTTGCTACACATAATAAAAACATTTCATAAGATTGCCACTTTAGTGAATTTTCTTGTAGAAAAAGTATCCCACTGTAATACACAGCATAAGATATAATGACAATAAGGAGGAAAAGGTAGCAGTACATGAAGTTCATAATACTCTCGCTACAAAGCAGATTTTGCAGAGCCTGCTAAAGTCTGGTTCTTTGGGCCTCATTTATATTACTCATAATGTTAATCCCACAAGTTATTGAAGAAGGGGAAAATTTGACCAGTGTATTAAAATAAAGCTCTATGACCTGGGTTCTCTTTGCACCTACCAAGTTCCACACTACACCTAAATATTTTTATATTTCTTTAAAATATCCATCCACCCAAACAAAATTAATGCCACAAAGCAAAATGCTAGACTTAGGCATTAATTTTAGTTTGAGGTAAAAGCTTAAATGGAATGCCAATCTCAGCAGCTTACATTTTGAGAGTCTCCATAACTACCCATACCTTCTAAAGCCACCATACTAAAGTAACACATATTATCAGGTATTTTCCAGATTACAAAAGCAGGAGACTGTTTAGCTTTAGATAACAAAGGAGACTCTTTAGAAATGTTCTCAGATTTCAACCCAAATTTCCAGAAGGATTTTAAATTCTATTAAAATAGGAATGGAGAACTCTTAGGGAAATTTTTTATAGATTTTCTGTGACTGGAGTTGTCTGTTTCTATTTTATAAATGGAACAGTGTTTAATTAGGAAGACAGCAATTAGCATCAAAAGATACCAAACTTACCCATCCATATCAGTTTTACTGTTCTCTAGTGCAATGGTTTATGAAAAAATTAGATGAAAGTGCTACTTGCATTTCTACTACTTAGGAAGTTCACAATGGAAAAATTCGTTTTTATCAGACTTCACTACAAATGCTTCTTTAAGACTCCCTACAATGGTGTCTTACCTTAAACAGCTCCTATTTTACATGTTTAATTTCTCCTCAAATGCCCAAAGCAGAGGTGGCAGCATGCTAAAAAAATCTGATTTTACAGCCTTGAAATAAAAAACACCGAATAAAGCACAGCTACAGCTAGTAAAATGTTACCAAACCTGGTTTATAAACCCATTACCTGGTTTAGAGACCCCTTTTCACCAAAGTTCTGTGTAGGCCCAGTCTCTCCCAGCAGCCCATACATACTAAGTCAACTGCACCAATTTTTATTCTCAATATCTTTAAGTTCAACTAAAACTGTGTCATAAAGCGTTGAAAGTTTTCCATTTGTTCAACATGAATGGGAGCTTCACCATCAGAGCAAAATGCATTCTAAACATTATCTCTAAAAAAGTTGATAAACTGAATCAATTAAAACAGCCAGGGATGGTCAAAGAAGGGGGAAACTTGGAGGAGCAAATGCCACTGGTAATACCAGAAGGAAATTGTGGTTCTCCATCTCCATCTTCTGAAAGTCATTATGCAGTGCATAGTCGTGAAAATGCATATTATGATGCAAGTAGTTATTCCAGAGCTGCAGTCTCATTTTCTCTTCCTGAAAGTGAGATCTTCAAGTCTTTCACAACAAAAACAAAGGTCACACACATATGCAGAATTATTCTTAGGCTGGGCTTTTTCTCCAGGCAGTTTACACATTCAAAAATAAATTCAAATCTCAGCTGAATCAACAGATTCCCCCCCCCCCAGGTTTTTTTCATATAAGGCATAGGTGTTTTCGCCACAACATGACTTCCACAGACTTCCTCTTCCTTATATCAACCTCCCATTTCCAATACAAAGCTTAGAAAGAATAGTAAGAATAGTTTTAAACCAACTAAAAAATAGGATCTTTGGTATGTACAGCTATGGCTGGATATTATTTCACAATCAACATGGTTCCAGTTGATAATGTAGGAAATAACAGAACATTCCTTATTTTCCTACTGTTTATCATTAGCAGAATCTTTAACTCTACAACAGTAGGAAAATTACTGGTTCTTAAACATTCACTGGAACATACAGCCTTAATAGAACTTTGGGGTAATGCAATGTGTTATGTATTCTTAGACCAGCTTTGTAGCTTTCCAATATAGTATCTTAGTTAATAAAACATATCCATTGTTTATCAGAATAAGGAACCTAGATTATTTTTACATGACCCATAGATGTAGACTTTCTTTTAAGAGACTGTAATAAAGGAAAAATATTTAAAAGCACTTGAGAAAATTGAATTGTATGATAAAGAAGTATATTATATACAGAATTTAACATGCATACTTATCTGAAAGAATTGTAATTATTCTACACCCCCCCAAAAAATCTATTTCAAATCACCCAAATTAAACTGCTCTATTCCACCAACCAATTAAGAAAATCTGAAATAACTATGAAGTTTCATTGTGGAGGGTAGCAGAACACTTTACTCCAGCCCTAGGCATGGAATAATCATATTTGCTTTCACTGTGTTTTTACTAGTTCTTTTCAATCAAACCATGAGTTATTGATATACTGTACACACGCTCTCATACTCCAATGAAGACATTTCTCACAATTAATATAGAACTGCAGCATTAAAGAAAGTCACTCCCTCTTTCCTGCTGTATAGGTTTAATCTTTTTGGGACTAATATCTTTATTGTATTTAATTAGCAACGTACATTGAAAACATGTTCAAAACCCCAATTGTTTCACAAAATTAATTAGAAATATAATGAACAAAATAGAAATCAAAATGACTAGCAAGAACATGTTACTTAACAAATCTGAAATTATTATTTTTTTTACTATCTCTACAACACACACGTGAATTTTAGGCATTGTAAAATAAATACATTTACAATTTCCAATTCATTCATATTTTTCTTAATATAAAAATGTGAATTAAAACATCAGAGTTATATTCTATTTATGTGGAACAAACAGTTGTTTTCCTGTTGAAGATTGCAATTCCTCTGGAACAATCCGTTGGGAACAAGCCAATGGTGGGGGCCAGAGTAAAAAAGAACCCCCCAGACAACCATCAAAAGTGCTTTTTCAAAAGGTAACTGGTCTGTTTTTTCCTTGAGTGGGAAGAACAAAATCATATTGTTTCTCATCCAAGAAATTTTAATTGTGATGACCAAAGACATCATTTAGATGTTCAGGTCTCATCAGTTGTAATGTTCCACAAACACCCAGACACCCATCCTGACCGGCTCCCTCTTTTCTTTCCTAAGCCACAAAGCCATTAAAGATATATAAATTCTTGGTCAAGAGTTGAACTTAAGCCTTTTTTGACTACTAATGAATTAGCCTCAACTAAACAACACCTACAGATGTTGTCAAAACCACATTTACACTAAATCTGTGCTCACTTACCTGAAAGTAAGCAATACTGAACTCAATGGATATCACTTCTGTAAATGGACTTTACTATATCTTTCCTGTAATTGTTTATCTAAACTTGATTGCTACAGATTTGTTAGACAGTATATACAATTAGTTTTACTTACCAAATGCCACCATTCTGATCTCCTATTTTATATCTACTAATTCAGTAAGATATCACTCAAAAATAATTTCCAGTTTGTTCAATGAAGTTTATTTCCATGTTTAATATTGTTTTAAACACCTAAACTTTATAGGTAGTCCTTAACTTGTGAAAGGTCATATAACAACTATTGAGGTACAACAGCTTTGGAAAATGTGTTTTATGGCCTGTAAAGCACTTTGAGCAGTCATAGAATCTCATCACAATCAAATGTCCACATTTCAGGCACTTGGCAACCGGCTCACAATTAAGACTGGCTGCAATATCCTGTGGTCACATGACTGGAACTTGTGGCTTTTTTGTCCAGTTTCCATCATTTTCTGTAGTTTCCTGCAAAAAACTTACCCATTCAGGAGAATGGATTTGGGCTTATAAATGTAATTTGCTTGACAGTATAAACAAAGGTTACAAAGATTAAAACAAAAACAAAACTGGTCCAGTCAATAGCTATCTAAACTTAGAATCAAAATTTTGGGATCAATTGCATTTGTAAGCTAAGGACTACCTGTAAAGACTTCTTGTACTTATTAATAAACAACTGCTTTTTTGTACTGCCAAACTTATATCTATAAAGTACCACTTAAGATCAAATTCTTGATATACTGATCAGTATTTTGAACTTCAGATTAAAACATGTAAAGCACTATAGAACCACAGAATAATATAATTTTTTTATGAAAATAAATTAAATTTTCCCATACATGTAAGCAGAGAAGGTGCCTCACAGATTTAAAGGCACTTGGTGTGTGCCTTTTACTGAAATGACATTGTGCAATCAATGCAGGCTTTGAAAAATAGTTTACTATTTAACAAACGGCCTTAAAACTTTCCTAGTATAGGCACAATTATTTTAGATAGTTCAATTATGTTATTATTTTAAATAATAAATTAAACTGGAAATTAGATTAGCTTCACTCCTCTTGATGTTTTGGTTTTGTCAGGAGGCTGGAGATATATTTAGATGGCTCCGCTATTGAGGTGGATCTCTACCCATTCTCTTTCCACTTCGGGCTTTTATAATTATAACTTTACTTAACTTTTAACATTGACTTTTTAAATGTTTATTATATATTTGCTGCTCTTGATTTAATTATTGTATACTGCATGGCTATATAAATTTGATGAATAAATAACTCTGAAATAGGGTAAACTGCCTAGAGCCAGGCAGCATATACTTTTGGTAAATATTCCTACAGGTTAATAATACAAGGCTACGGACACTGTAGCCCTGCTTAAGCATCACCTTCTTGTGTTCAGTAGAATATACAAATATTTCTGCTCGAACTGGCTTCCAGCTTACATGTACTGCACACAGAGAGACTGCTAAAAACCACCACACTTTTAAATGATCAGGGCTCCCCAAACTTGGCAACTTTACGACTTGTGAATCGGGGTCCCCAAACTTGGCAACTTTCAAGACTTTTGAATCAGGGGTCCCCAAACTTGGCAACTTTAAGACTTATGGACTTCAACTCCCAGAATTCTCCAGCCAGCTGGCTGGAGAATTCTGGGAGTTGAAGTCCACAAGTCTTAAAGTTGCCAAGTTTGGAGACCTCTGCCCTAAATCAAGGAAGTGTCTCTTTACTTACATCAAGTTCCTTTTCCTGACTTACTGGAACAAACCCAGCACCTAAGTATAACTTTACTCCTGCCATTTCTGAAATCCATTCAACATTCAACCCCAGCAGCTATCTCTCTATGCCCTTGGTGGGAGTTACTACTCTTTTCCTTCTTTTCCTGGTCCCCAAAGTGGATTGAGCAGAGCCAAACGCCCTCGTTGAGTGGCCATTCACAAGCAACAGCAGGGCCTTGTATCCGATTAACAAGACACAAAGCAGGCAAGCCCCCCCCCCCCCCCCCCCCCACTGGTCACCATGACCTTGCGCTCTTGAACCTTAAATCTCAACTGCTTGGAAGGCCCGAATCACCGCCGTTCATCCTAACTGAGGCCTCAACGGTCCCTTGTATCGTTTGAGATTCGGCGCTACGGTATTTTCTGACCAAGCCCTGCCACCTCAACGGCACGTTTCCATCTCGTCCGTCCCAACGGACTCCAAGCCACCTTACTTCCGAGGAGCTGCGATGCTTCAGGGTTGTCAAGAGAAACCACCAACTCTTCCAACCGGGTCTTGAACCTTCCGCTAACGCCGAACCCTCAGCGCGCAGGCGCACGAGCCCTCCGGGAAGGAGTAGCGCCGGAGAGGTGGTCCTCGGCGTAGGAGGGGGTATCAATGGCGGAGGCGCACACGTTTCTTTTGTGACGCTCCGGGAACCCGCTTCGCCGTCTTCCGTCTTCCCTCCGCTCGGGGCTTGCCCTACCGAGAGCCGCCCCTCGCCCCTTCAAGCAGCGGTCAGCGACAGGCACCGCGACACCGTTATAAGCAGGCCGAAGGGACCAGAGGAGTCGCCGTCGCCGCCCCCAACCCCGCTGTGGCCGTCACGTTAAAAATGGCGGCTGAGAGGGAAAAAAAAAAAAAGCCTGCCGAACGTTCCCGCGCGCGTGCGCACGACGCCGTTTAACCCTTTCTTTCTCCCCTGCCCCCTCCCCCTCTTCTCCCCCCCCTCCCCCGCCCGAGGAGTTCGCCCGTTTCTCGGGAGCGAGAAGGCGGGTACGCCCCCCTCGGCTCTCCTTTCTCCCGGACAAGTCGCCCGATCGCTTCCCACCACCCACTCACCGGCAACACCTCACCCACTTCCCCAGGCGATCGGCCCCAAACGGCTGCGCGGAACTCCCCACAAAGAACAAGGAAGCGCTTAACCGACGGCCGACTAACAAGCTACGCAGCTGAGGCAGACAGGATGGCGTCGTAGGCGCGCGTCTCGCGAGGACTCCCGTCGCTTAGCGGCGGAAATGGCGCATGCGCGGCGGGATGGCTGGCGAACGAGGGGACGCTTCGCGCGGGGGAGGAAGCCGTCGACGAGGAAGGCGGGGTGGTACGCATGCGCAACGCTTCTACCGCGGCGGTCTGCGATAACCAAGTATGTGGGTCTGTTTTCCGTTGGTTGCCGCCTCCGCACAACTTAGGAAAAAAGAATGCAGTACCACGCATTAAGATGTTTGTCTCGGTGATTAAGCAAGCGTTCCATTCCGTTAGAAAGCGCGTTAAAAAACAAACGTTCCGTTAGCGCAGTGTTTCTTAAAAGCCGGCAACTTTTAACGATGCGTAGACTTCAACTCCCAGAATTCTCGAGCTAGCCATGCTATCTGTGGAATTCTGGGAGTTGAAGTCCATACTTCTTAAAGGTGCAGCTGTTGAGAAATGCTAATCTAGGAGTAAAAGTGCCATCCAATCTTTTATTGTTGCCAGCATGTAAAGCACCAGCTGTCAGTGTGAGATCTTGAGGCTGACACCAGCTCTTTAGATTTTATTTTTGTGTTGTTTTCAATGAATCCTCCCAACAGAGATGATTGCAAGTCTCTTGATTTCCTGAACAAAGGAGGTGCCAGTTTTCTGAAAAAAAGTATAAGTAATTAATCCTTCTATTTTTCAAGACTCAGATTAAGTTCCCTTTTTGGGGGCTGCTATTTGGGTAACGGTAGGCAGAATAAAAGCCATAGAATATAGCTTATGTAGTGTTCTTGTGGAGTACTTTATTATTCTGATTTCTCACATCCATTCTTTGAACTAGAACAAATTTTCCTATTTATCAATATCAATATAAAAGTACTAGTGGCAAATTATTTTGCTCTATTATACAGAGTCACAAAACAACACCCCAGATTTGCTTTGTTTTTCTTATTGGTTTCAGTATATTTTATGTTTAGTCTAATTTTTGTAATAATTGCTTGGTTTTAATTTTGTTACAATTTGATTTTCTGAGAAGTTAAATATTTTGATGTTTACAGTTTCCAAACCTTCAGTAAAGACAAATAAAAATGATACAATCAGGTGTATGATGGAGTTAATGACAAGTTTACCATTCTGTTTATCTGTATGTATGTCATATATCAATCATCAAATGGTATAGCACATACATTCAGAAGCCATATCATTTCATTATGTCTTTCTTTTAGCAATTAGGACTTAATTGGTGTGTAAATCACTTTTACATACAATGTTCCAAACTTACAAATAGTTTTTGACATATAACCATAATGGAGCATACAACCATTATGATTGTAAATCCTGATGGTCATAAAGTGAGTCACTCACATCACTGACCCAATTTTATGACCATTCTTGCAGTGGTTGTTAAGAGACCATAGTAGTTGTAAAAGGAACACTATGGTTGTAAAGAGAACCCATGGTCATTAAGTAAACCCATTGTTTTCTATGGAAACCGTTTTTCTTGAAAAATGGAAGTTAATGCCAATCTTCAGCAAAAACAATTAAACATCATTTGACAGCAGGATGCTGAAAATGGCCATAAATATGGGCCAGTTGCTGAACACCTGACATATGGTCTCATGTCTGGGGTGGAGTGGGGTGGGGGGCAGCCATTGATACTTTGGAACTGGGTTGTAATTTCCTTTGGAGTGGTCTGTTATAACTTCAAATGGTTAGTAAGCGACCAGTTGTAAGTTGAAGACTATCAATATGATAGAAAACTTAAGTGTGTTCATTTGTAAGTTATGCATTTTATTATTGAAATGCAACTCAATGATTAGGAGCTCTGCTTCACATCAAGATCAGCTTAGAATAAAAATAAAAATCCTAAGTATGCATTTACCACCCCATGCACATTTAAACATCTGTCTTATTTCATGTTTACCATCAGAAGATAATTCCGAGAATTAAATTACAAAGTGTATCAATTCTTTTTTATGATTACATATCCTTTCTTTAATTTGACAATTTCATAGGGAGCTTTGTAGTGAACATGAATTTTAAATTAAAAATTTCACGTCATAATTAAGTTCGATTATAGTGCTTGGTCTTCCAGGTGGGCTACGTGCTCACATGTAGACTTAAAAATATATATTTTGACTGCATATATATTCCACAGTAAAAGAGTATAATTATGCCTTTTATAGTATCTTATAGTACAAAAGAAACAGTTTTAAAAATATGTACCATATTCAAACAACACAGAAGTAAACAATGCATTGTAAATCCAACATTGCAATATTAGTATAGGTAGTGTTGCTAACACTGTCATAGGTGTACAATCAATGTCTATATTGGGGAAAGAAAATTTCTTCAACTTGCATGCATTTCTTATTATAAAATCTCGCATAGCAGATGAACTGGGATTGCAAATCTAAGGGAAAGCTAAAAACCAAGAAGTCAATGGTACTCCATGCTCTTTACCTCCAACAATTATGTTCCTCATCCGCATTTTTCAATGTGCTTTCTGATGGGAATATTATGGATCTCAAAGGTGAATTATGTGTGCTGCTAATGTAATGCTAGGGAGGCAATGGTTACAGGGGGAGAAAAAGCAATGATGAAAGGAGGGAAAGGCTATGTCATTCACAAAACCACAACTGCCTGTATTTTTCTGTATTTGGGAATGGAATTTGGTTTGTTTTTTATGTAACTTCCATGAATTTCAATTTAAAAAAAAGAGAGCAAGAGGAAAACTTAATTGAAAAAAAGAAAATTTCAGAAAAGAGCAAAATAAAAGTGCAAAACAAAACAAGAATGGAACAGGAATAGCTTTCAACTTTCTTTGTCTGGAAATAAATAAAAAAATATGTCAAATTCAGATTCTAAAGTTCCTAATAGTCTACACAACATTATTTCTATAATCCCTTATTTCTAATCATCAAATCCAAAAATCATTTCTACCAGTCTCTTGCAAAAAGACAAAAAGTGGTTTCTAGGTAGAAATACAATTGGTCAAAGTCTTCTTTAATCAAAGTTTCATCATTTCTGTCAATTCCATCAGCTCAGCCATCCATTCTTCCTTTGTGGGTATCTGTAAGCCCTTTTAGCTTTGTGCATATAGGAGCCTTGACATTGTTTTATACATAAAAACAAAATTCCATAAGATCTTTCCATCCATTAATCCCAAAAGGAAAATCTCTAGCTTCAATTGTATGCTAATTTTTAAAATCTTCTGACTCAAACCCCATATTTGCTTCCAATGTTTTGTAGCTCTCTTAATGTTTGGGGATGGAATATGAATTATTTTAGTTTTTGTTAGCTGAGTCCTTACAGGTTTCTTTGAAATGGTAGAAAGTGCTGCCAGATGCCAACACAATTGTGTTTTGCACTTAAAGAATGGCAAAAAGTCATTCTACAGATACCGAAGTAATGGAAAAGTTAAACAATGTAGTAGGTTTTACTTCTGAGTGAATTTACAGAATCATAATTGTTCTGGCAACTGCATACTCAATCTAACAAAAATAACTTCCAAATCCCATAGTAAATAATAATGCCACAAATTGCTTAGTCTTTGTGTAGTTGCTGAAATAGGTAAAGAAGACAAATCAATTTAGATAAAAGACTACTCCTTCTTTCTATTTGCTGAGTTTAATATTAACTTGGATATTTCTGCAATAACAAGAAGAGAGACTCAACAATTTCCAAAGGGCCATTTTAAAAAGCCTTGTAAAATTCTGTAAGGAAGAAATGCAGATTTCAGTTTTCATAATTGATGCATTTACCAACCAACCCTTTGGTGGGAATCCTGCTGCTGTTTGTCTTCTTGAAGATGTAAGTTTTTAACAAATTCCTTTAGTTTAAAAAAATTAATTAGCAATGTCTACTATTTGAGAGGTGAGAGGTGCCATTTCCTTTTATTAGAATTTACTTGACTGTTTATACAAAGATTAACTATATTGCTTATTTAAATTACAAGTGGAGGTGTGGGTGGGAGGTTTGTCCTTAAGAAAATCTTTTGTCAGTATTTTATGAAGCCACTGTAGATTGCCAAAGATTTTGTGTGTATTCCGGGAAGGTTTTCAATTGAAACTGAAATACAGCCTTGCATTTAGCATGATCTGTAACCAAGCTTTGCAAAGGTAGAACACAGTTCTTTCAAAACTGGAATTTTTTGCAGGTTAGTTTCATGTTTCTTTCTTTTGAATCAAAAATATTGCCACAACTTTGTATAAACAGTGAGCTGATTATACAAAATTGAGAGAACAAAGACCACAGTATTATATTTCAAAGTCACCACAAGATGGCGATGGTTAAAAACATATAATACATCGTGGTTACCAGGATATTCCTTTTGTTTAGCTGGGCTTCGAAAATAGAAAATTAGGTTGATAAATTCATGAAGATGATGTTTGGATGCCCATGTATCATTTCTAAGATCCCTGCCTCAATTGTTCAGAATTCTTCAGAATACTTTTATTATTTCAACAGATTTTGTTTGTCAACAAGAATAAAATACAAAACAGAAAAACAGAAAAACAAACGATCATCCAACCCTAACAATGAAAACAAAAAGAAAAAAAATTGTGTACAAAAAAAAAGAGGGATGGGGAGAAAAATGGGAGTTGAGCAGCCTCTAACTTCACAGCCATTTTTTGCAACGCAACTTGATGGGGACTGTTTTATATTTTAAAATTTGTTTATTTAAATTATTACATTTGGTAAATTCAATAAATTTGGTTGAAACTGTCCACCTGCCCAGAAACAGAAGAAAGCAAAAAGAAGCTGGAGAACGGAAAACTTTGGACATAACAAGTCTATCATGTTTGATCACACTAGATTTCCTAGCTAATCTTTGGCAGCCATTTTGTGTATGTGTGAGAAAGGATTACAGATTGCAGATTAGCAGAGTTGGAAGGGACCTTGTAGGTCATCTAGTCATCTAGCCCAAGCAGGAGACTCTACACCATTTCTGACAGGTGGAAGTCCAGTCTCTTTAAGGGAGACCAGGTGTTCTCAACATTTCAGATGTGCCTCCCAAACTTAAAGATCTCCTGAAATATAGCCTAAAACTTA